CGTTACTGATGGCTTTTCTTTCCCACTTATTTCCCTCTTTCTCAAATTAACTTTATAAATTGCTCTCCTCGTTTCATGTCCAAATTGCCTTTCTTTCCTACTTCCTAGTCTTTTCCCTAATGCTTCCTTTCTCTCTTTCTCTCTTCCTCTCGGTCTGTTTCAGACTAATCATTGCCAGTTGTCTGTACGGAGGTCTGAGGCGACACCATTTGTGTCGGACAGACCTGCCTTTGTGTTCGTCTGGTCCGTCCAGGTCTAGGTCCAGGTCCAGGCCATGTAAATAGAATTAGCCCATTTCACGCTCAATCTCCCCCTGTGATTATTGACCCCCGGGGTTGTGTGGAGTCTGTGTTCAGAGTTCAGAGGCCGGCGTCAGATCGGAGGACATCCGGCCAGTCGTACGTGTGTGTTTTTCCCAAACGTATGTTCTCGCACGTGTTGGCCGTGTGTTGGAACGGACCGAGCTCCAGACACTTGACTGAGGCGGATCTCGGTTCACCAGAACTGCGGTCCTGCCGCCGCCAAGCCGTTTTATGAGAGGAGATGGACCCTACGGGTCTCTGAGAGGAAGCTGCTTCATTACAGTAGCTGTAAGTTGAGCAGCTGCTTGAAGCGCAAAGGAAATGACGTGAAAACGTGCCTCAAATATCGAACGTTGATTCACGGACGGCGAGTCCAACCGTGATATGCTCAAGTTTTTCAGTTCCCAACTGTCCGGGAATTGATGAAAACGGAAGACGAGAGAGATCGCTGAAGGTTTTTAAACGACAACACTTTGAATATTATTGCGTGTTGGTGTTTGTACTACCACAGCATCTTACTTTATACAGGCAAAGTGCAAAAAAAACTAAAAAGTAACAAAAATCACACATTGCGGTAACTTTCTGACGCTCAATGAGTTTAGAAAGAACGTGCAAGGAAAAGTCATTACGTTCATTTCTTCGCGCACACTTTGTATTGAAGACCTTTTCCCACGGACTCGACTCGGTCCTACTTGGGCCGACTTGGCGCAGCTTTGGGGATCCCTCCTGCTTCAGCTCGTTTCTAAATACGTAACTAAATAAAAAACAAGTGCTGTGTGTTATCGTTGTATGTTTCCATACAATAGTGAAATTAGATCTCTGCATTTAACCCATCGCACCTGAGATACACCCAGGTGGAGCAGTGGGCAGCTATGTAAGCACACGGGGCGCAGTGACACCTCGACATGTGGGAATGGCTGGGGATCGAGCCTGGGACTTTTGGGACCCGAGTCGGCTGCCCTACCTCTACCTCATCTCGACCCCTTCTAAGGGCCTGGGCCGAGTTGAGCCCAAGATCTAACGTCAACTTTGAGAGAATCTCCTTTACAAGAATCTTTTTTTTTTTAAAACCTACAGCCGCTTAAAATCGTATTTTCCTTAAAATGGCAACACGTAAACCAACACTGTGTTCCTACAAGGAGGTGTAGATGTCTCCATGCTTGTTGGCCGACGACAGAATTCAGACGAAGCTACATCAAATATTTAGATTACCAGTACTTGTCTTGGCAGGTCGCTCGTCTCTTCCGTGATTTTTGTCGACAGTGGGGAGGAAGGAAACGGCGCCGTGTGATGGAGACCTCACTACCTCTGTAGCGTTTTAGCTAGCGTGTCTGTATATCACATAGCTAGCTTATCGCTACATCAATGCTGGCAGGTGGGGGTGGGGTGGACAGTTGGGTAGGCAGGGCGCTCGGTTCAGTTCTCTGGGCGCCCTCCTTGTATAATGTTAGGGGAAACACTGATACGGACTTGGTTTAGGCAAAGGTACCCAATCCTGATCCTCTAAAACATGCAGGATGGTGTCCCTCAAGGACCAGAATTGGGCACCTTTGGTTTATGAGCTCCAACCTACACTGCGAATGTGGCCTGGACTCGGCCACGACATTTTAGTAAACCGTGGAAGATGGCGAGTGGTTTTTGTGCCTTTATTGCATCCGTTTGCTCGTTGCCGTGTCGCGTTTGCCTCTGATAAAAGTTTAAGGCGACTGTGCATCTATGACTCCGCCCACATCGAGGCTTAACACAAGTTATGATGAAGTGGACCCAACTATTGTGATCTAATGCAACCTAACAGCGTTTGAAATGGTTCCTTCTGTGAGATTAGAGTTGAATAATCCCACAGTCCTGTTGGGGGCTTGTGACAGAGTCACAGCAGCAGCTTCAAGCTGATAGTTTGTGTTTAATCTGGTGTGTTTACACGTACATCTGTTTTAGTTTTTTTAATGTGATTAATGGAGATAATTAATCATCCAGGGTTGGAATGAGAGGCTTGATGTTTATTTCTTATTAATCACCTGAAAGTGTGTTGGTTTGGGTCCGAGTGTGCCGAGCAAACGCATCAAAGTCTCATTAGGATTAATTTGTGTAATGAGGCCCTTCGGAAAAAAACTAGCACTTCCCCCTCTTGTTTCTGCTCTGGACTATGTGATTGTGACGAGGTTAATCTGAGCTCTCAGCGGAACATCTCGTCAAATTTGTGTTAATGGAATAAAGGAAGGGGAAATGAATCGTAATGGAAATTGTATTTGAATAGTTTTGATGAAATAAAAAACGTTTTCCCGTAGATTTAACCCTCGACTCTGCTTTTTTTTTTTTTTAATTCTTCCCCGCTCTTGGTTTTAACTTCTGTTCTTCTGGTTTTGATCTCTTGGCTTCACTGGGTTGGAATGCAGACATGAAGGTTGAGATCGGGGCCGTGGCTAATCGCTGGGATTACACACGTCTGCTCAGACACCGACACATGTTTGACTTTCTGTTTTTAACGTGTTGCTGTTCTTCCTCCGCTGCTCTTTTTATTATTCTCACGCACTTACTCACGCTTGCACCTGAACACGGCATATTTATTATTTTTCTTATTTGTTTTTCTGCACATTTAGATCCTAAATTTATAACTTTAGTGTTTTGGGGTGTGTAAGCCTGGAACACATTAGTATTTATGTTTTTGTACGTGTTTGTACATTTGGCTACAAACTAATAAAAACTTGCACTTGTAAGCAGGATTAAGATTAACGGGGTGCTCAGTCCTGGTCCTCCTTTACAAGAAGTTAAATTACGTTTCATGTTTATTTTTTATTTTTTAAAGCACTTTTGGCAGAAACTGTCCTTTTAAGTTTTTTTCTACAAGTAAATTTAATAGAAATACTCAAATATGCTTGACTATTATTAATCTTAATTATTTTATAAAGTTTTTATTTTATTGATTTAATGTGTATGTTTAGCACGTTTATATGTGTGTGATGATATTTCACTACAGAATTCTCTGGGTGCTGTTTGGGATGAATTGAATGGGTCCAATTCAAAGTAAAATACATTTTAATACAGAAACAGTCAGTTTGATTATATTTCAGTGCAAAAAAAAATTCTCTTTCTGTGCATTTCGGTTCAAGCCAAGTCATTCCAATTTATTATGATTTAAAACGATAAAATTATTGATTTTTTTCATGTATTTGGGTTCAAGCAAACTCATTCCAATTAAGAAAGATTTAAAACGATAAAATTATTGATTTTCCGTGTATTTTGGTTCAAGCCAAGTCATTCCAATTTATTACGATTCAAAACGATAAAATGATTGATTTTCTGTGCATTTTGGTTCAAGCAAAGTCATTCCAATTTATTATGATTTAAAATGATAAAATTATTGATTTTTCCATGTATTTTGGTTCAAGCAAAGTCGTTCCAATTTATTACGATTTAAAACGATAAAATGATTGATTTTCTGTGCATTTTGGTTCAAGCAAAGTCGTTCCAATTTATTACGATTTAAAACGATAAAATGATGGATTTTCCGTACATTGTGGTTAAAGCCAAGTCATTCCAATTTATTATGACTTAAAACAATTTCAGTACAACCTGATTTGAATATTCCAGATGTTTTTAGTCCCAATTTTTTGGGGAAAAAATATCTAATTTCACTCATTTCAATTTGAATCCATATACCTGTACATATATTTTCCCAACTGCTCACCTTCTAATGCAAAACAAATAAAATGTTCCATTATAAACAATAAAAATAAAGTCCAATTGGAAATATTTAAACAAAAACCTGTTCAATTTTAATAAACTGCAATTCTATTTAAATTAAAGTCGAAATGAAATTCAGATGTAACTGCAAACGTTCTAGTTGAAAGTATTTCTGTTCAACAAAAATCCATTTAAATGTAGTGTTATTCCAATTTAATTAAACTTTCCAACTTCAACGATTTGTTTTAAATTAAATGCTTCTAATTTAATCCAATTCATTCCAGTCAAATTAAATTCAAGAGAATTGATTCTACTTCAGCGTACTCCAGTTCAGTCCAAATATAAACTGTTAAAGCACACTGAGATTCTCATTAATTAAACTCCAATTGAAGCCATTCTTCCCAATAAGAGTTGGATTTATTGGATTTAAGAGTTTGGGTTTATTCCAGTTTTTATCCAGTTCAGTGCCGCCTTATTCACATTCAAATGCATAAAAGCGCATTCTGATTTAAAACTATTCCAATTCAGTGTTTTCCAATTTAATCAAAACCTTCAACATCAATCCGATTCAGTTTTGTAATTATTTACATTTTGTTTGAAGTTGATTTAAATTTACCCGTTGCTAATTTGATGAAACGAACTTACAGGAAGTTTTCCAACTTCGTCAATTTTTTACAAGTTTATTGATTTAATCGTTTACTTTGTCAATTATTTAATTTACCCCCAAGTTAACCCAACATATTTATTTTGTTGTATTGGATTCACATCGATTGTTTCATGGAACCAGAAATATTGTGATCGTGTAGTTTTCTAATAAAAATAACTATTTGTGTGAAAAATGTTTGATCTTGTCACGGTTTCGGCAAAAAGATGTGATTTAACTTAAAAGACTTGAAATGAATGTTTTAGTTGTTTCATCTTGGATATTTTGGGATCCAATTCAAAGCTTTTTTTCCAACCTGGACCCGTAACGCCTCGTCTCGTCCCCCGCAGGGTAAAGTGGCGCAGACGGCGTGCATGTCGGCCTGTAAGCACATCTCCACCTCCCTGATGCAGCTGCCGCTCGAGCCCGAGGTCCGGCAGATCTCCATCGGCGCTCTGCACCAGCTCCAAGTCGACATCAAGGAGTGCGAGAGTGAGTGTCCACGTCTTCGTCTCGTTGCGTTTGACGCACCACCGGTGAACTGTGCACGAGGGGGGATCTGCGCAAACGTTATCGTTTCAGTCAAACCTACTTGAGGCCGTTTTTAATTTCCCTACATCAAAGTAAAGGCAAAGTTTTAAAGTTCACACTCGTGATAAATAGACTGAAGATCGGATTAAATGCCGGCGTTATTTGTGCAGGTACGCCCCCAAACACAGTTGATTTTGTAAGAAATTATCGTTTTCAGAAAAAATATTTTAGAAAAGTTCATATCTGAACAAACTGCAGCGAGTCATAAACGAGGGGAACGTTGTCCGAGGGGCGTTTTAAATTTAAACGGTTCCTTTAAATGGACTTTGAAGACATTCTGAGGCCGGCCTGCAGGGGGCGCTCCAACAACGGCCGCTTCAACTTCCACGTTGCGTTCTTGTGTCTAATATGTTGGAGTCGTCTTTTTCTATTTTTTTATTTCAAACGAGTCTAGACTTTGAAAAGTGGCTAATTTATTTCAGGACGCTCTGCAGCGCAGAAACCTTAGAACACGTGTCAAACTCCAGGCCCGCGGGCCAAATGTGGCCCTCGCTGACATCGTATCTAGGCCCCCAACATGATATGTTAAACATAAAATACTTTTATCACTTGATTTTTTTCTCAGCAATCTGTGATTATGAAGTCAAAAGTGCAGCAGAGAACGTCCAGTGAGACCAGTCGGACTCTGGTTGAGGAACCTGGACCCAAGACGAGATGTTGGTCTCAAACTTGAGTTAATGTAGATTCAGAAACCGGCCCTTAGTTTGGAAAAGGTTTTAGTTTTGGCCCCTTTTGTAAGTGGGTTTGACACCTTTAAACAAATCATTAAATTATCACAGCTCTGCCAAAAAATTAATAAAACTGTAAAATTTATTTTTATATTGTTTGGAATTACTATATATTTATAATATATATATATATATACTGTATATAATTGTTCTTCTTTATTGTTCTTTATAAAACTGTAATATTGACGCCCTTTTCAGTTTTGTAGTAATTCTCAATATTTTTTTATTTTTATAATTTATCAGGATTTTATCTGTAAAGTTCTGCATCGACGGTTCGATTCCTTCAATAAAGTTTATTTAATTCAGCTTCGGATCGAATGTTCAAACGTTCTCAGAATCTGAGGAAAATAATAAATGACGGGAACTACGATTTATGAAAAAAAACATTTAAAGCTCTGCGCTGAAGTCGTTGTTGGGAGAGTTAATGTCACTTCAGTTCACCCGGTTTACAGAATATTCTGCGTTTGATGATAGTCGTGCCGTTATTAAAAAATATAAATATATAAAAACCTGCAACTTGGTGAGGATTTATTTTCTGTGTGCTCGTCCTGAGTCGGCTGCAGAAACTAAACGTAAAATAAAACATCTAATGTTGTAGCGGTGCGTTTTAACTCTGGCAGGTCAATAAAACTTTTTATTAATTTATATATTTTACTCGACCCCTTCAGGCTCAGTCCAATATAAATTACATGAATTATCTTTTTAAACTGATGGATTTATTGCTGTAATTTCTTATAAATGACAACAACGTTTGCACTTTGACTCTTGAGTTTAACCGACTTGTTTAGATAAATTCTTAAAAAATATATTTAAAAATTGCTCAGTTGAGGTTTCGAGCTACAAATGTTTCAAGTTTAAACTTTTATGAAGCCATTACCGTTGCAGATTTCATGTTTTTATTTTATTAAAAAGTTTCTTGTTCTTGTTTTTTATGTTTCGACCTCCCCTCATCCCCACTGCTTCCTTTAATTAATTTTTCTTGCACACTCGCATAAACACGCGCACGTTTACCTTTTTTTTATAAAATCTCAAAGATTCGAGTCGAACTCTTTTTTTCGAAGAAGCTCCGTTTTTTTTGCAGTTTGCGTTTGAGGCTGCGGGGGGCGCCGCAGAGCACCCGCGCCGAGGAGCCCCGGTTCTCTGAAAGCGTCAGACTTCACTTCCCGTCGTCTCCACCTTCATGTCCCCAACCTCCGCAGGATTCATTCACCGGTTTTCACCTCCTCGTCCTACCTCTTCTTCATCGTCTCCCCTCTCACCTCCTCCTGCTCCTCCTCTGGTACAGTTCTCCTCTTTCCCACCCCGTCCTCGCGCTTCCTCTTCCCTCCTTGATTTGTGAGACTTTGAGACGCAGGCTCCTTTTCTTTTTTCCAGATAAAGGAGTTGGGGACTTGAAAGAGCGCAAGGCGTCGTTGGCCGGGTTTTTACATGATCAAGGTTCTTAGAGTCACGGAGCGGGTCACACTGCGTGTCTGCGGGTCCGGGACTTGATGTGCAGCGACATGCGTGCAGAGAGATTAGGAGGCTGCAGAGCCGCTTTGTTCCGAGCAAAACCGGTCAGGAAGTTGGGCTGGAGATACAGTAGAGGATGGCTGGGACGGGAAACCAACAGAAGCAGCAAAAGATTTAAGACTTCTGAACGTTTCCAAGGAGGAAAGAAGCTGAGCGGGGATTAAATTACATTTACTATAAAGAAAAGACGTGCTTAAGTTAAAATATAGAAATGCTTCCAAATGAGGGACCATTAAACCGTTCACCTGTAGAGTCTTTTAACAACCGATCAGTTTGAATTAACAAAAAGGGCAGTCAGTAACGAGGAAATGGTAACAACAGGAATGCAAAGAGTAAAAACTGGAAAAATAAACACAGAGACGCAGACATTTGAAAATGACGGGGAGGAAAAGAAAACCTTAAAATTGTGAACACGAAACGCAAAAAACCTTAAAGCCCCGAAGAGTTTTCAAGGAAGAGGAGAACCTTGAGTCAGCGTCACGAAAAGCAAACTGGATTTAAGAAATGTGCGACTTTAATAAGACGGAACACTTGAAGAGGTCTTCAATTAAATTAGTTGTGGATTTAAACGGGGACGGGTTAGAGATTAAAGAATTTCAGGATTGTGATAGAAACGGAGAAGCTTGGAAACGGAAAACTCGAGAAGAGGCGTTAAAAATTAGGCCAACGAGCAAACTTGTAATTCAAAAACACGGAAAATCCAGAAAACACGGAAGCAAGAGTCAATAAACCGCAAAAAAAAAAATAAAGAAGTAAAATTTATTCATTAGTAGATAAACGGGATAAGGAACTTTAAAATTGGAAATTTATTTTAAAAAGTATACCTAATATCAGGGTGTTATAGGATGAAAAGAACTATTTTACACTGAAATTCTAATAGTAGCAGTGAGACGATCATACGTAGTGGAAAATACGTTATTAATGTAATATCAGTTGCAAACCAGTTCAACACGGGAACCATTTAAGTGGTGAAAACCCGACCAGGCCAAGTCCCCGTCCACATTCAAGGTTTTTTATCGTCGTTCACATCAGATGTGGTACATGAGGTGGAATGAATCTATGTACACGGGGTCCCAGTTGTGATTACAAGTTAGAGCAGAGTTACTACTTCTTTGGATCAAAAGAAGATGGCTGAGGTGGTTTGAGCATCTGATGAGGATGCTTCCCTCTAGATGGCTTTTTGGCTACGTCCCAATAGGAGTCGACCTTGAGACGTAACCAGAAATCACAGGAAGATTTATGAATGGCCAAAAGTCATTTTGGGGGTTCCCCAGAAGGAGCTGGAGTGTGTTGCAGGAAAGGGAGATGTCTGGTTCCATTTCTTATAGGCTTCGCCCTTTAAGGCTGTTGCTGACGGGTTTAATGCGAAGCCAAAACCCGTCAGCAACAGCCTTAAAGGGCGACGCCTATATTCA